AACTAAACAGAGAGACAAAAACATAAGAAGAAAAAACGACGTAAAAGAGGAAGAGGAAAATAGAATAAATAAGAGGAAGAAGCATCATCTGGAAAAGAAGGGAATAACAACAAAGAGAAAAGGAAACACAAAGAATAATTAAAACGGATTGAATGAGAGAGAGAAGATTAAAACAAAATAAATGAATAGGGAAACAAAGAGACGGAAGAACAAAGAAGAATATTGAAAAAAAGGAATAAGATACATGTAGATAAAGTGAATAATGAATAGAGAATATGATGAAATAAGGATAGAAATAAAAATATGAATAAATAACGATGAAAATTAAAAAAAATAGATAAATGACGATGGAAATAAAAATATAAATAAATCTGATGAAAATAAAGATATAAATGAATAACAATGAAAATGAAAAATAATAGATTGAGATGAATGAAAAAAATAAATGAAGAAAGATAAGAAAAAAATTGAAAATGATTGAAGAACCAAAAATTATGAAAATATGATACAGAATAATAGATAACAAAATACACAAGGATTAATAAATAAATAAAACAATAAAGAAATAAAAAAACAATAAATAAATGAATACTTAATACACTATGATTATTATCACAAATTAATAAATAGATATCATAAATAAATAAATATCATAAATAGATAAATAGATTTCATAAATAGGTAAATAAATATCATAAATAGATAAATAAATATCATAAATATAATAAATAAATAAATATAATAAATATGATAAATAAATAAATATCATAAATATAGTAAATAAATAAATATCATAAATAGATAGATATCATAATTGAATAAATAAATATCATAAACAGATAAATAAATACCATAAATAGATATCACAAATAAACACCATAAATAAACAGATACCATAAAAATAAATACTTCAAAAACGACAAAAATACGAAGCGACCTCGAGAGAGAGCCAGCGCGGCCACAGGAGTCCGGCGCTCGGATCGTCTTCCTCCGACGTTGAAAGTCCCTTTAGTCTTCGCGGCTTCTCGGATCCTGTCGGCGGGTTTCGGACCTCATGGCGGAAGGTAAACAAACCCCGCCTTTACTTCTTATACGTGAAGGAGAGGGGTGGTGGGGGGAGAGGAGGAGAGGGTGTGGGGAAGGAGAGGGGGAGGGTAGGAGGATGGGGAAAGAGGGGGGGAGGGAGGGGGAAGGAGGGGAGAGGAGGTAAGGAGGGGGGAGGGAGGTAAGGAGGGGGGGAGGAGGTAAGGAAGGGGGGAGGGGGAGGAGGAGGAGGGGGGAGGGGAGGTAAGGAGGGGGAGGTAGGGAGGGGAGGGTAGGAGGGGGGGTGGTGGGGAAGGAGGGGGATGGGGAGGTAAGGAGAGGGAGGGGAGGTAAGGAGGGGGGAAGGAGGGGAGGGGGGTAAGTTAAACCCGGCTAACGACCCCTCTCTCACTTTTCCTTCTTTTTCTCCTCCCTCTCCCTTACCCTTCCTCTCTCTTTCCTTCCCTCTCTCCCTCTCCCTTTCCTTCTCTCTCTCCCTCCCTTTCCTTCTTTTTCTCCCTCTCCCTTTCCCTTACCTCCCTCTCTCGCTTTCCTTCTTTTTATTTCTCCCTCTCCTTCCCTCTCTCCCTCCTCTCCTTACCCTCCCTCCCTACCCACCCCTCTCCACCCCCCCTCTCAGTACCTCAGAGATAAAAGCTTATTTACATACCATTTACTCCGAGTAACCTCAAGTTGTGCTTCCTCTTGGCGCCACAGTACACGGGATGCTCGACTGATCACCTGGGGGAGAAAGACGGAATTTAGAGAGAAAATAGAGAGAAAAGGGAGGTTTTGAGAAGGAGATGGAGAGGAAAGGAAGATGAGAGAAAAAGAGAGAGAAAAGGAGTTTTGAGGGGATGGGGAGGAAAGGGGAGATTGAGAGAAAATAGAGAAAAAGGGAGGTTTTGAGAAGGAGATGGAGAGGAAAGGAAGAGTGAGAGAAAAGAGAGAAAAAGGGGGGTTTTGAGAAGGAGATGGAGAGAAATGGAAGATTGAGAGAAAATAGAGAAAAGGGAGGTTTTGAAGGGAATGAATTTGAAGGGAGAAAAACGGAATTTTGAGAGAAAATAAAGAGAAAAGGGAGGTTTTGAGAGGAGATGGAGAGAAAAGGAAGATTTTTGAGGAGATGGAGAGGAAAGGAAGATTGGGAGAAAAGAGAGAAAAAGGGGGATTTTGAGAAGGAGATGGAGAGAAAAGGAAGAATTTTGATCACCTGAGGGAGAAAGACCGGAATTTAAGAGAGAAAAGAGAGAAAAGGGAGGTTTTGAGATGGAGGTAGAGAGGAAAGAAGAATGGAGAAAGAGAGAAAGGGGAGATTGAGAGAAAGAGAGAGAAAAGGGGGATTTTGAGGAGAGACATGGAGAGGAAAGGAAGATTTGATCAAGCGAGAGAGGGGTTTGGTCAGAAGACGGAATTTAGAGAGAAAATAGAGAGAAAAGGGAGGTTTTGAGAAGGAGATGGAGAGGAAAGAGAAAAGGGGGTAGATTTGAGAAGCGAGAAAGAAAGGGAGATTTTGAGAAGATTCAGATAAAGTAGAGAAAAAGAGAGATTTTGAGGAGATGGAGAGAAATAGAAGATTGAGAGTAAAGAGAGAAAAAGGGAGATTTTGAGAAAGGAGATTGAGAGACCCACGCACGATCTGGGGAAAGGAAGATTTTGAGGAGTGACTAGATGCTCGTTTGATCACCCAAAGGATAAAGAAACGAAATTTTGAGAGAAAAGAGAAAAAAAGGGAGATTTTAGAGAAGGCAGACAGGAAAGGGAGAGAGGGAGGAAGGAGAGGGAGAGAGAGAAGGAAAGGGAGAGAGGGAGGGTAAGGGAGAAGGAGAGAGGAAGGGTAAGAGAGAAGGAAAGGGAGAGAGGTAGGGTAAGGGAAGAAGGAGGGAGGAAGGGTAAGAGAGAAGGAAAGGGGAGAGAGGTAGGGTAAGGGAGAAGGAGAGAGGGAGGTTAAGGGAGAGAAAGAAAAGAAGGAATGCCTCCTCTGATCACCTGAGGGGAAAAAAGAGAAAAAAAATGTTTGAGAGAACAGAGAAAAGAAAATGGAGATTTTTGACAAGTAATGCTGTAACAGTTTTTTTTTTTTTTTTTGAGTGGATGATAGTTATACAAAAGTTTTTTTTATATGTTTATAAGCGGTATAGATGTTGTTCTATAACCTCTCTCGCTGTCCTGTCATCGGAGAAACGATAAAAGGAAAAGAACAACAAATGCCTAAATAAACAATATAATCTAATACTACTGTCAAGTTAATGTATTACGTGTCCTTGTTTATTCCTCTGTTTTATCGGTTTTATCTATATTCCATTTTCGCTTTCACATTTTCACATTTGTTCACTCATTGGCATCACGGCGACCAAGAAATAAAATGATAATGATAGTAATAAAAAAAAACATTTGGCAATAGTGATGATGATGATGATACTACTAATAACAGAATAATAATGATGATGAAATAATGATGATGATACTACTACACTACAAATAAAATAATATCGTGATGAATGATGAATGATGATCTATATAATGCTAGAATAATGATGATGATAATGATAATAAATAAAATAATAAATGATGATGATAGCATAAGTAATAATAATAAAAAGAAATTAAATAATGAAATCACATCCTCGTTTCCTTAACAACCAAAAACATAATAATAAAGTAATATATGAATCAAATAAAAATAATAAAAATAAATAGAAATAAAAACAAAACCAAAAATAAAAACGAGAATAAAATAAAAAATAAAGATTAATACATGAAAATAAATAATAATAATAAAAAAAACGAAATGGTCCACGGAGGCAAGACAGTGCAAGACAAGAGGAAGCCAAGGGAAGCGAAGGACATAAGGTCGATTTTCGCTTCTCCGTTGAAAGGTCCTCGCGGTGTCGAGATCGTGTCGTTTAAAACGCTTTTGTTTTATCCGTTTTTATCCATTATGCTTTTATTTATATCCTTTATAAAGGATTTTATTAATATCCTTATATGTTTTGTTTTATTGTTTTATTTATATCCTTATATGTTTTATTTTATTGTTTTATTTATATCTTTTATAAGGATTTTTATTTTATATCCTTATATGTTTTAATTTTATTGTTTATTTAATATCCTTATTTTATAAAGGATTTTATTTATATCCTTATATGTTTTATTTTATTGTTTTATTTATATATCTTTTATAATAAGGATTTTATTTATATCCTTATATGTTTTATTTTTATTGTTTTTTATTTATACTTTTCATTTCCACTCTCTACGTCATCGGATTTATTAATTTTCATTTGGAACGACAGATAGTAATGAATAATGAATATGTGATAATGATGATAATGATGATGATAAATAATGATGATGATGATGATAATTTTGATGATGATGATGATGATGATGATGATAATATTGATGGTGAGGAATATACTGTTGTTATCGTGCCCTCGTCTCTTCCCCTCTTCTTGTTTTCTCTTTTACTCTTTCGTCTTCTTTTATTTTCTTGTTTCTCCCTGTTTGTGAACTTCTCTTTCCCTTCCCTGTGGTTGTAATTTACTTTTTCCCTTCTCCTTACCTTGCCCTAGTCCTTCTCTCCTTAATTCTTTCTTACATTGCTCGCCAGATCTTTTCTCTTCCTGTTTGTTAACCNAAAAATATGTTTATCTATAATATAGCACCATCCACTATACATTATCTGGGTTATTACTGAACCATTGATTATACAATAATATACATCAAAATAGAAGACCAATACAGCTTAGAACTATATGCTTTACATTTCCGTACTAACAATGTTCGCATTTCCCAACTGAGTGTAGAAATATATATTCAATCCCTTTCTTTCAATCTCAACAGTCTATACCAATAAAACGTAATATCGTTTTACAAAAAATATGATCTAATTTTTGAAAACATAAGTGACAGAACTAGAGAATTCAGTGATTACCAACAAACGTACACCGTCCGCCTTTATCCAATATCCTGAC